AAGATGGGAACTCCAGGATTCTACACCGAGATGAAAACGTGCAAATCATTTAGTGCATTTACCAGTATTCACTGGAGTGGAAATTTAAATTTCAAACAGTTCAATAAAAAAATAAAACCAGTCCGACCTGAAACTGCACAGGCCTTTTTCAGCCTGGTAGCCGTCACAGATTATGACCGCGCCCTTAGAAAAAACACTGAAGCATCTTGTGCTTCATTAAAACTCCTGATTGTTTTTTTTTTTCTCTCCTGCAGACTCCAGGACCTGTTCCAGCAGGAGAAGGGCAGGAAGCGTCTGTCTGTCCCGCCGAGTCCAGGCAGACACCGACCCAACACCACTGACGACACCAAGGTGGGCATCGCTGCTGTGCTCAGACACCACTAGCTGCTGTAGCCATCAGGCCTGGTTAGCAGCACAGAAGTTTGTGCTGAGATGTAGAAATGCTGCTCACGCCTCCTCTGTGTCTTCTAACCTTGGAAAGCATCCAGTTTCCTATAGTTTGACGAAAAAGCTGATTATTAAGGAATGAACCATTTTTTGTAGTTTTTCCTGACCGAGCTAGCTAGTTTTTATTTTGTTGTAGTATTTCATATTCCAGCTCTCTGGTTCCTCACTTCCCTTCTGAACCGGACAGGAAGCATCTGAAATGAGACCATGTGTTATTCAGCTGACCGACCCTCATGAGCTTCCTGTCCAGTGTGGGCAGCTGCAGTGTTTTGGCTGCTAATCCTCCATGTTTTTGTGCTATACAGAGCGCTCTGGACTCCTCCCCTCGGAACCCGTCCCCTGTGGTCCAGAATGGGGAGAAAGGTGGGTTCAAATAACCTCCACATTCTTTGTCCTAATAAAAGGTTTCCTGCAGGTGGTGTTTTGTGTGAAGCTGCTGTTTTTCTCTCATCAGAGGACCGCCACCTGTGCCCACTGCCCTCAACCACCTCGTCCCTGCTTCCGTCACCTGGAGACCCCGGAGCTGATTCCACCACAACTGGACCCAGTTTCAGTGAACCGGACTCTGTCAGCATCCCAGAAGGTTCACAGATTCACTCTGACCTGCACATTCTCTTTATCATTTCTGCTTCTGCTCTTCATGTTTTGATTCTGTGGCCTTCCAGATGTGTTTGAAGGCCACCTGCTGGGCTCCACTGACAGCCAGGTGAAGGAGAAATCCACCATGAAAGCCATCCTGGCCAACTTTCTGCCCGGCAACAGTTACAACCCCATCCCTATCCCGTTGTAAGTGTCGTATCAGAGTCGGTTCCTGAGCTGGAAGAGGGGTTCAGACATCCATCTTTTTGTATATCCACTGTGAACTTTGTATTTTTGCTATAAAAATGGACAAGAATGAGATTTGATCTCTTGTAAAATGTGCCGTTTTGGAATCGAAATGTGTGTGAACCCTGCAGTTAATAGAGAAGTGCTTAATGAGATGGCGGTGTGTGTGTGTGTTTCAGTGATCCAGATAAACATTACCTGATGTACGAACACGAGCGGGTGCCAATCGCCGTGTGCGAGCGTGAGCCGAGCTCCATCATCGCCTTCGCTCTCAGGTGACCTTTCACCCCCTTTACCCTTTGATTGCTCCACCTCAGAGTTGCTGACCTGCTGTTCGGTTCTGTTGTCCCCCAGCTGCAAAGAGTACAAAACGGCGCTGGACGACCTGTCCAAGTCGTCCAGCGCAGCCGGGGACGACGCTCAGCAGCCTGCCAGGTACTCGGCTTTCATGTTATGTGAACGGCTTCGGCCGTCAAACACAAGGCCCGTGGGCCAAATGTGGCCCGCTGTAGCTTTTTATGTGGCCCTCTAAACTCCAAATTACATGACTAAGTCCCTCCAGTTCACACAAAATCTACAGATTCCCACAGTTTTCTCAGGTTTTTTTTTTTACTGTAAATTTTTCTCAAAATTGGCCAGAAACATTGAGTTTAAAAGACTACTGCCTCAGCCTTACTTGATGTCGAGTTGAATCCCCATATAGTGTTTGATAAAAAGTCACATTTAACGTCATTCGTTAGCACAAATATCATAAAAAGTCCTTAAAAAATGTCTAAATTAGTGCCGCAGAAACAATCGCAACATCTCATTCCGGTGGCTGAACAAAAGTTTGATACAACAAACTGCCTGAAATAGTTTGTCTAGATGATATTTAGTCTAAATGACTAAATGTCAGCGCGTCTCAGAACGCTGAGTCAGCAGGTCTGACCTCTGGTTCCTCTGGGTGTGTGCAGTGCGGAGAGTCGGGTGAAGAGCAGCCCTGCGAGGCCCAGCGATTCTCTGGCGGCGCAGCAGAGTCGCAGCAGCGCCGACGGCGAGCCTCTCAGTACGGATCCACACGTTCCAACGAAGCAAAAGCAGCATTTCACTGCAGACTGACAGATGGGAAAATTCTTTAAGCTTTCCGTTTTTTTTTTTTTCCCCCCCCCACCCATTTTCAGAGGATGCCGATTCAGCAGATAAGCAGAAGAAACAGACGGTGAACCCACACATCGAGCTCCGTGAGTCTCTGAATTTCTCTGGGACAAACAGAATCAAATATCTGGATTTGAAATACATTCTTGGATAAATTTAAGAAAAGTAAAAACGGATGGTAAGCTGATGTAAATCAACAAAGTGCTGCTTATCAGCTGAATCAAATCCAGCTCTATGGTCTAACAGATGTAGATGCTACGAGGACATCACTTCTCTGGGCTCGGATCACACCTCCTGTTAGATCTCAGCATTTGTCATTTCCTGCCCAGAGTTCTCAGACGCCAACGCCAAGTTCTACTGTCGGATCTACTACGCCGAGGAGTTCCACAGGATGCGTGAGGAGATCATGGAGAGCAGCGAGGAGGACTTTGTCCGCTCGCTGTCCCACTGTGTGAACTGGCAGGCCCGGGGAGGGAAGTCCGGAGCCGTCTTCTACGCCACTGAAGGTTAGACAGGAAGTCTCTGGAAGGCTGCTCCATCTGCTCAGGTCTTTGGTTTAAAATTCAAACTCCCGTTGCCTTGTCTCCTCCAGACGACCGCTTCATCCTGAAGCAGATGCCCCGGCTGGAGGTCCAGTCCTTCCTGGACTTTGCTCCGCACTACTTCACCTACATCACTGGAGCTGTGCAGCAGAAGGTACGCCAGCAGCTCCCGTTCCTGTTTGTCAGCTCGAAGCGGTTCAGCGTTTAACCAGGTTTGGTCCGCAGCGGCCGACTGTGCTGGCCAAGATCCTGGGAGTTTACCGGATCGGATACAAGAACTCCCAGAACAACGCCGAGAAGAAACTGGACCTGCTGGTCATGGAGAACCTCTTCTACGGCCGCAAAATGGCTCAGGTGGGTCAGCTCACAGCTGGGTTGTGTTCTGAGTACTGCTGAACGTACGGGGCCCCTAAAGGGACATTGAAGAAAAAAATAAAGACCATCTTGTGTGCGCCAGGCAGTGTGTGGTATGGAGCCTCCTAGGGGACATACTGAAAGTCTTCCTTATGGTGGCCACCATACTTCCTGCTTTTATATAAGGTTCTCATAAGGATTTTCCATGCATGTTAGTAATGTTAATATCTCTCAGAAAATGTGTTTGTTTTATAGCTCTTTGGTGCAAAAAACTGATTGAAAATCGATTTATTCACACATGTTCATGTCTGTCTGTGTAAGGCTGAGATGAAACGGCCCTTTATTACCAACACAAAGAGACAATCAAAACTATCCAATTACTTTATTACCCTGTGATAATGACTCAGAAACAGTCCAAGTAATTTGGATGTACTTTTTCTTTCCTACATATAGAAAGTTTTGGTTTATGTCTTAAAGGGGATGGAAAGCCCATGTTTGATCTATGTTGCCTTTACATTTTGCAAATAGGTTTGTGGTGGATTTCTATCCCAAAGAAAAAGATATAAACCTTCGGATATCTCACAAATGAGATACTAACATGCATGGAAAAACCTTATATTATAGCAGAAGGTACGGTGGCCACCGTAAGAAAGACTTTCAGTCTTGCAAAGAAACACAAAATACATCCCCCCCCCATGTCCTTTAGGGGGCTCCGTAGTCTGGTGTGTGTGTGAGAGAGAGTACTTCTTTTTTTATTTTCTTCAGTGTCCCTTCAGCCCTCTATATGAAGTTCCTGACCGCTGAGGTTTCCTGTAGGTGTTCGACCTGAAAGGCTCTCTGAGGAATCGAAACGTGAAGACGGACTCCGGGAAGGAGAGCTGCGAGGTGGTTCTGCTGGACGAGAACCTCCTGAAGCTGATCCATGACAACCCGCTCTACATCCGCTCCCACTGCAAGGCCATCCTCAGGGCGGCCATCCACAGCGACGCCTACTTCCTGTCCAGCCACCTCATCATCGATTACTCCCTGCTGGTGGGGCGGGACGACGCCACTGACCAGCTGGTGGTGGGGATCATAGGTGAGTGTGGAGGCCTCTGTGTTGTGGGTCAGAAGCTGAGTGCTGACAGTGCTTCCTCTGCCGTCTGCTCCAGATTACATCAGGACATTTACCTGGGACAAGAAACTGGAGATGGTCGTCAAATCCACTGGAATTCTGGGAGGCCAAGGTACTTCATCAGGCAGATCTTCTGTCACGCTCATGGGGCGCCGTTTGTAGTTAGTCAAAAGTTAACAGCAACAATTTGGGTTATTTAGAAGTAGTAGACTTTATTTGGAAAGGAATAATGTACAGCTCAAATATAAAAGCAATCATTTGATGCGCTGCACCAGATTACAGCACAAACCTAACAGGAAAAAATGAGGCTTCGTTCTTCAAAGTTGTGTTCATCTGGTGTCACAGTTGCAAAATATTTGAATTTTATTTATTTCATAAAGGAGACACTTCATCATCATTAGCCAGATTTAGCCAGACCGGCTAATTTGAATCTGTAGTTTCCTAGCAGGTTCATAGGAAGGATAAAAAAAAACAAAGTTACAATTAGCATTCATAACATTCATGACCTGTGATTTAACAGATTTCAGTGTATTGTGTAACTTAAAGTAAATATTTATCAGAAGAATAAGTGACACCCGTAAGGAAAAAAAACATGTAAAACTTTAGTTCATTTAAAACATATTCAAGACAGTAAGCATTGCTACAAAATGACTTCATGAAACAATAAAGCAATAGTCTGAAACCCAAAGAGAAAATGACAACGGATTGAAATAACTTTACCTAAATGGTATTTTACAGTCTCTCACACCAACTGCTCCTGTAGTTTAGTTTAACTGTAATTGGTTTGCAAAAGGAAAAGTCTTGTAGCAGTGGTGGAACCAAACCGTGACGGGCCTCATATACAATATGAATGTCTGGATAAATTTAGCTAGCTTATTTAATTAGCTAGCCAAATGTTTAGTTAATATTTAGCTTGCTAGATAGAAATATTTAGCTTGGGTTCAAGCTAAATATTTAGGTCATAAACTAAATGCATAATAAAATAAAATAAATGGAGGTTTAGTACAGCATCAGTACTTTAAGATTTTAAGGCAAAAGAAAAAAACGTGTTTGAAACATGATGGGTCTAATCTGTTCCGTTTCTTCTGAGCAAAGTTCTTGGTGAGCTTCTGGATTTGCTCTGCAGGGAAGATGCCCACCGTGGTTTCACCAGAGCTGTACAGGGCTCGCTTCTGCGAGGCCATGGATAAATACTTCCTGATGGTGCCGGACCACTGGACCGGCCTGGGGATCAACTGCTGAGCCCGACCCGACACCCAGCAGTCCACTCCTGGCTCGCCGTCATTCCACAGCGTTCATTCTGCCTTGCTCGACGCGCTGCAGCGACTCTGGACCCCCCGGTGCTGCAGAGAGGTTCTGGTTTTCTGCTTGGTTCCATTTACTGAGTGGACCTTCGGAAACATTCAGCTGAACAAACCGCTTCCTGTAATTTAATGTTTGTATTTGTACAGAGATTATGTGACTATTAAAGATTATTAACACAGCAGACTGTTGCACTTCATTCATTTGTGTAACATCTAACTCAAGAGTTGGTCTGTATTCATGAAATACTCCCCTCATCTTCAGAGCTCCTATCTCCCAGAAACTGTTGTGAACTTGAACGCATCCTGTGATGCATCAGCTGTTCTTGTTTTGAGGTTGGTGGTGTTTCTCTTCATCAGACAGGGAAGCTGATCGAACTCGATGGATGGATGGAGCAAAACGTGGAGTGATCGTGGCGTTATGTTTAAAGGCTGCAGTAGCCTTGGGGAGTGGCACACCGAGGAGCCCGTACTACCTGCAGAACCTCATTAATCCAGTCACTCAACATGACGGGCCTGAGGTCAGCAGACGGAGAGTCTGCTGTGGAACTGATGCTCAGGGTCACATCAGATGTTTAAATGCCGACATTTTTCTACCGGCGTACCCACCACTACTGCTGTTGTTTTTTTGTTTTTTTTTATTCGATACTTTAATGGAGATGAAGAAACCACCATTGCATGACTCGACTTAAAAATTACTTCTATATTCATGAAGTAATATTGTAGAGTGAACTTTTTAAGTTTCCCATCAGTCTGCTCTGACTCCTGGTGAATTGCCTTTAAGTTTTTGAATGGATTTTGCTCAACAATCCTCTGAAGGCAGCAGTCATCCAGGTGGCTGGTGCTTCTTTTTCCTACCCACTTTTTCCATCCACTCAACTATCCACTGATATGACTGAATACAGCAAAGCCAGCTTTTATAACCATAACTTGTTTTTTCTTTATCTTTTATAATATTCTAATTTTCTAAGACACTGGATTGTGGGCTTTCGTTCTCAATGTAAAAAAAAAAATGCTTTGAAATATGCTCCCTTTCTGCAACTCAGACATGAAAGAATTGAAGTGAATGTGCGTTAAAAACTCAACATGACTCAGTTCTTTGACTTTTTCCTCCTTTATTTGAAATGCATCAGCAGGTTTCACACCAGCAGCAGCAGCAGGCCGTTCTGCCTCGTGTCCTCAAACGAGACGCCTGACAGTTTAGAACTGTCTGTCTGTGTTGGCAGTCACCTGAACGCACCACTGCATGTGCCAGGTGTGTGTTTTCCTTTCAGTCCATCAGAAGCTCTTCTCAGAGGAAGTCCGCTGCCCGACATCAGAGCAGGTCTGACAGAAAACCTTCTAAACTCTGGAAATAAATAACTCAAAGAAAATTGCACATAAAGGGTTTAAACTGGGGCAGTAAGTCGACGTTTTTGGCTTCTGTGCTCTTGTTTTGGTGGTGTTGGTGTCATGCAGGATCATTCTGAAGCGAGGTCAGCCGTGTGCAGCAGGAAGATTAAAGAACAGAAAACCTTCATCTGAACCGTCCATGGAACAACCCGGAACGTTTCTCCTGACTTTCAGCTCAGTGGGATTTCTGGCACCAGGTTGTGTTTTTGTTTTTTAAACCAAACGAAGGGAACTAGGTGTGATTAAACCGACAGAACAGAGGGACGTGGATCAGTACGGGGTCACAGTGTCACTGAGGATCCCCAACCCGGATCAGACCCGGAGGTTCTGCTCCGGGTCTGATCCAAATGCCTCCCTTAAATCAAGGCAGCTCGGTTCAAAGTGTTCAGCTATTTCTCCACTATATCCAATAAATAAGATTCACCTTTTGTGTAAATAACTAAAGATGTCAGAAGTTCTTTTGAGTTTTGGTCTAAAAGAGTTTAATTCTGATGGGTTATGGTCTTTTAAACTGCTTAAATTAAGAAAGTATTCCCCTTAAAAAAATCTTTATTTTTTTTTTCAGCAGTTTTAACCTTGTTTTGTTGTTTTCTGGGGGATTTTAAATTATTGTGTCATATTCTGGGCTTTTTCTCAATGGATAATATATAGAAAAATATATAAAATACATATTTTATATATTTTTTTAGGCCCCCTTGTGGCTCCAGAGTTATAATTCCAGTCAGCGTTTTACTGTCATCTCCAGGTCCGTTTTCAGGGTCAGATAATCCCTTCAGACGTGTTTATCGTCGGCTTCCTGTCCTGAAGATGGAGTAACGGAAACAGAGCTGTTTCCCTGGAAACGGTTCAGGGTAACAAACAAGGAAGTTGCCTTTGAGCCACACTTGAGATTCGTGTGACCCTGCAGTCTAACACAGATCTTCTCTCCCTAAAGGTCACAGTCACTTAAAGGTGATGCTTAGCTGGTTCAGGCGTGTCCTCAGCATCCAGAGGGGCGTGTCCTCAGCATCCAGAGGGGCGTGTCCTCAGCTGGAATGTGATGATTCCACACTCCTGCCAGCAGAGAGAGCTGTTTGTTTCCAGGCACTTGTTCCCAGGGCATTTCTAGAGCTGCTACACGCTAAAACTAACCAACTAGTGATGGATCTGTGAAGCAGAAAACTGCCACCAGGTGGAGCTGGTGGTGGAGCTCAGCCAGAGTTAGACCGCAGCGGCAGAGGCGCTGGCACCAGTTCACATCTTTCTGGCAGATGTTGAGCCTCTGGCTGCCTGCTTGCTCTGCCACTCGCTGTAATCTGCCTCTAGCTGTTGGTTTGGGTTACTGCAGCCTGTCTGGGGTGAATCCGGCCTCCCAGCTTGGAACAGGCTCCGCCCCACTCAGAGGGGAGGGAAGACATCAGAACTGGTGCAACACTACCAAATGACGCAGGGGGGGGTAAAGTGGCTGACCTTACCGGCAGATTTTCTAACTCGCGTAAAAAAAAAAAAAAAAAAAAAAAAAGTGTTTGTCCTGTACATTTCAACATTCGGACTAATCCCAGCCTGTCCCCGGGCCCCGACCCCTGGAATCTTCTGGAAACCCAGGATGTGGTTGACATCAACAGCACCTTGCAAAAGTTTTCACACCCCTTGAACTGCTTCATACTGTGAACATTACAAAAACACGCTTGAGATGGTCACATTGGACTTTACACAAGTGAATGCATAAATGAGAAGCAGAAGGATACGTCAGTCCTGCACATCATCCTGAAGACATCATGTAACATGGTGTAGGCAGCATCATGCTGTGGGGTTGTTTTTCTCCAGTGGGATCAGGGAAGCAAGTCAATGGGCTGGGATAGACAGACTGAGCAATATGAAGGAAAATACAGGAAGAAGGTGGAGAACATTACTGAATTAATCAAAATGTAATTCTGCAACGTACTGACCCGGTTTATTCGGAGGCAATACTGAAAACCACGTTTTCCTTCCATTTCCCATTTATTCACTACTGTGTCTTGGTCTGCCACAATAAATCCTAATGAACAGGCTGCAGTGTGTAACAAAAGATGGAGTATTGAGGCCATGCCAAAGAAATAATTAAAAAATAAAATTACAAGAAAAGATTTACGAGAATAATACTCAAATAAAGTCATAGTATTAAGAGAATAAACACATATAACTTTATTCTTGTAATTTAATTGTTTTTTTTTATTAGTATGGCCCTAATACTCCGTTGTAGTTACATGACAAAACAGTGAAAAAGTTCAAAGGGTGTGAACAAACAAAAACCGTCTGATGGTGGGAAACCGATCCAGGTTTGGGAGGGAGGAACTGTCAGGGCTCACCAACCAGCAGATCAGCCGAAACGCGGTTTGATCAAATGAAAGTGGGAGCCTGGTGAAGCAGGTGCTCGTAGAAAACAGTCACATGTCCAGTCACACTCATTTTCCTCTTCCACTTTTTAAAATTCAAAATAATTATTACAATATTTTTCCAGTATTAAATAATTTGATATAAAAAACACGCAAAAAAAAAAAAACAGGGTGGAAGAAATGGCAATGCTCCCTCTAGGATTGCCCCTCCCCTACACGCACACACTTCCCCCCTCACCTCTCACAATATACACTTCTATACACATCATCATCATCATCGACCTTCCTCCTCCGTGGTTCTTTGCCCTGACTCCTCGGTTCATGCAGTACCTGGTACATCGCAGCTAAACGTCACTTCAAGTCTTTCATATGTTTCAATGCAAAGCTGCACAGATGTGAAAAAAAGCTGGAGGGGTGATTTTCTGTCTTGCTAACTATATACATATACATATTTATATATTTAAATTGTTACTCATGTTGGATTAAACATGTAACCATGGGAATAATGAGGATTAATCTGAGATTAGGAGTAGCTTCGCCACTTGCTTAGAGTCCGAAGGAGACCGAGAAGAGACAGGTGTTTTTCCTCTCCGCAGGAACAACGGGACCTGATTGGTCAATGAGCTACAGTCAGAGTCACCGCCTCCTACCACTCACTGGTCAGTTTGGTGCTTTGGTCCCGTTTGGGAGGGGCGGGAGGCGGGCCTCGCCGCAGCGTTGCATAGCCTGAGATGTTGCCATGTTTGGCCGATTGGGAGCGCCCGTGGTGCCGCGACAGGGTGTGGGAGTGTCCCCGGACCCCCTGCTGATGCTGTTGCGGCAGGAGCTCTGGGGGGGGAGGCGGCAGGAGCGCCATGTCGTCCATTGTGCCCACGGGCTCCATCTTGGAGGAGGGGATAAGGTGGGAGGAGGTGAGCGAGCCGTGGCGCGACACTGACTTCCTCTTCAGCGTGCGGTTCAGGTCCTCCAGGAAGTGAGGCTTGAAGGCCAGAGAGGCAGGCCCTGCTGACTTTGGGGAGGTAGGGGGGATGGGGGAGGAGGAGGAGGAGTAGGACGAGAGGGAGGGGGGTGGGGTTTGGGACAGGGGTGGAGGCGAGAGAGGCAGTGACATGGTGGTGTCGTACTGAGCCGTGTTGCTACTGCGCCGGTTCATTGCCGGAGGAGGCACCGCCCCCTTTTTCAGTGAGCCTTGCTTCCATGACGACGAGGAGAAAGAGGATGTTGCAGACTGTGGAGGAGGCTGCATCTGAGGCTGGGGATTCACAACGGCGACCTTGGGAGGGTGATGGAACTCAGAGGGGTGAGGCGGGGGAGGGAAGAGCTCCGATTCGGTCGGCGGGGGAGGGAAAAAGTCGGCTGATGAGTCCAGGTGAGGATGCTGGGAGGGAGGAGGCGGGGGAGGAGGCGAAGGGAAGTCAGGCTGATGCTGCTGGCCGCTCTGCAGGCCCTGGATGACCAGAGGCAGGTTGGCCAGGTTCAGCTTCCCCGGCTTGGGGAGCGGCGCTGGAAGGGAGGTGGAGTCTTTGGAAGGAGATCCCGTTGCTGAGGAGGAGCTCGACGATGTTCCCGTCTGGGGGGCCTGGCCAAATTTACTCAACAGACTCTCCACCTTCTTGGGCCGCTCCTCTTGAGGGTCTTTCATGGAGGAGGCCCTCTGTGGGGTTGGGGGAGGCCCACGCTTGGTGGACCCCGTGGAGGAGGTCGAGGGAGACTTCTTGATGGGGGAGCCCGACTTGGAGGAGGAAGAGGGCGGAGGAGGAAAGTCTCCTAAGGAGCTGTCAGGGGGAGGCGGGGGGAACTCAGGTGACTGTGGCACTGCGGTGCCCCCGATTTGCCACTTTGGTTTGGCCTTGACTGCAGGAGGGGACTGGGGAGCGGAGCTGGAGGGGGGCAGGGGGGAAGTGTTTCCTGGGAACTGATTGACAATCTGTTTGACCAAAGAGGAGGTAGCCGCGGCGATGGAGACGGACGAGGAGGAGGAGGAGGGAGAGATGGCCAAGTTCTTGGAGGAGAGGCTATGCTGCTTGGGCAGTGTGGGAGGGGGCTGATTCGGGGAGTGTCCCGTTGAGAAGCTCTGCTGCTTCCTGACAGGGCCGTGTCCAGAAAACGGCTGGGTGGGGGACACCGGGGAGAGGGCGATGGGGAGGGAGGAAGGGCCAGACGGTTTTGGGGCGGTCAGAGGAGGGAATCCACCGGAGAAGGTTTTGGGAGGAGCGGGTGGGGGGGCATTGGGAGACAGAGGCCGGAGGACTTGTAGTGATGCTGGGGGGGAGAGTTCTGTGGGAGGTGGAGGGGGCGGGGGGGAACCGTCCTGCAGCGCTGCGGGGGTGAAGTCGTACACCATGTTGGGGAACTTCTGTGACAGGAACTGCTGCAGGCCTGCGTTGGAGAGCTGGGGGCAGGGGTTGGGGAGGGGCTCCAGAGGGGGAGGAGGGGGCAGCCCGTTGGCATCCAGGCCCTCTGGAGGAGGGGGTGGGAGGCTGTGCGGCTCCAGTGCCTCCTCCTCTGGCAGAGGCGGCGGCGGGAGACAGTTGGGGCTTGGCAGACCGAACTTTAGGGCAGCCATGGCCGAGCCAGGGGCCGGTGCCACAGGTGGTGGAGGAGGAGGGGGCGACGGCGGGGAGGTGCCGTAAGAAGCTGGGAGGGTGTTGTAGTTCTGCAAGGGAAGGGGGGTGGTACCGGCGCCGGCCGCCTGCTGCGTTCTAGCCTGGTTTTGGCTCTGCAGGCGAGCCAGAGTGCTGTACTTCACGTAGGAGGAAGGAGGTGCCCCCTGGTGGCCCATACTGGCCACGGCGGGTGGAGGGGGGGGAGGAGGCGAGGGCGGGGATGGAGAGGAGGAGGAGTCCTCGGACGGGACGAGCCCATCGGTGTAGCTGCTCCGGGAAGGCGGAGTCTGAGGCTGGGGGGAGAGGCTGGGGATCTGGACAGGGATGGGCCTACTGATGGGGTCCATCTTCATCATCTGTGGGCAGAGGAAGAGAAGTGGTGAGGGAGGAGGAAGACAATAAAACGTACAATTTGCTAAAAACAAACGAGATGCAAGAAATCCGACATCAAACCAAACAGAGGAGAACAAGATTTGGTTAAAGGTAAGGTAATTTTATTTATATAGCACATTTTCAGCAACAAGGCAATTCAAAGTGCCTTGCTTATAATTAAAGGTTATAAGCAGTTAATAACGCTCCTACTGTCTTCATTCAGCAGAAATCCAGATTAGTGTGTCCTTCAAGACACGTGTTAAAGTCAAGGCCTGGGGGGGAGTCCATTGCATTTTTCTGTAATAGTCAAACCCATGGTTCAAGTGATGCCAACTCCCACCTGCAGGTGGCAGTATTTCTTCCTTCTGCTACACTGCTAGCTTAGCTGTACTTTATTATAGTCTGGGTGGGACTGATGAGGCGATTAACAAGTCACATTTAATGTCATACCTAAGCACAAATATTTCAAAATTCCTTGCAAATCTTTCTAAATTAGCACCGCAAAATCTGTGATTATGACTGCAAAAAATAAATAAAAATTACAAAGTGAAAAGATGTGCAACATTTCATTTTAAAGAAGTACTCATTGAATGCAGACACAGCTTTTTTTTTTTTTTTTAAATATATATTAATATTATAACAACCTTTGAGACTGTCCATGATCCTAATATGGCCTGAAATCAAAATGAGTTATGAGTTTGACCTCTTTCTGCAGGTCTAGAGGCAGATTTCTACTGATAACTTCTGCTCTCTCTGTCCTTTTTTACCTTTAAAATTGTAGAATTTTCATTCACAATTTCACAAAAGTAAGACTGTTTCTTCTTTTCATTAAGATATTGCGTGTTTAGTTTATTTGCGTAACAATTCAAAGCTTTAAAAAAATGCAATAGCATTTCTCCGGGTATTAATTAGAACTCACTTTTCAACCCTTGGATGTGGAAAAGGTTTGGACAGCCCTGATTTAAGAGACAGGAGATGTTCTGAAAACAGATCCTGTTTCAGCAAGAGGAGCCGTAAAGAACAACAAGCTAATACAGGAAGTGAGGACGGAGCAGAGGACATGCTGAGCTCTGGTCCAGCTGGGCCATCACTTCCCCGGTTCCATTCCAAACACATCCTGCCATCAAACAAACGTCTGGCGTGGAAAACGGCCAACTGCTGACGTTTCCTGAGAACAGATCTGGACGCTGATGTTTCACTGAAGCATCTGGAAGTAGAGACGCCGTGCAGCAACACGCTCATTATCCATGTGGGAATGCAGTGAGGCAGGCGCGCTGAGCTGGCTTTAGTCCCATGATGCATCTGTTCAGCTGGGATTTGATGCTCAGCTTTTGAATATGGGAATTCTGACAGCAAAACATTATTCGCTATACACTCTCTGCAGTACGTCAGCTTTTTATAATATTCTTAATAAAGTATTTGTAAATAGAGTCTCTTTATTTCTGCCTCTTCCTTTATTTATTTGCAGATTTCCCATCATTCCCAGTGTGTCTTCACTTCAAACACAAACGCCAAACAGACAGGCTGTTAAAGACTTCACATGCTTGTTACGTCACTTCCTGTCTAACCTCCACTGCCTCCTCCTCCCCCCACACAGAGAGGAACCATCATTCGTCCTTTCACCTTTAAGCGCTGATAGAAAAGCAGAACGGAATTGTGGGAACAGAATAAAAATGATTGATTGATTTTGTGTGTGTGTGCGCGTGCGTGTGTGTGTGTGTTCACACCTCTCCTTGCGTTCCTCTCCTCCAGGCGTCGGAGAAGATGGAGCTGACCACACTCTGGGAGCGGGTGTGTCCGGATGACGCCAGCTCTGACACGCCGCTGTCTGATTGGCTGGAGTGGTTGGACTGCGACTCTGTGGGATTCAGCAGGAGGTCAGAGGTTGAGTCGACAGCAGCGGCACTATGAGGTCACGATGCACAGCGTGGCTTTACCGGGACTAAACCAGCAGTTTCAAACTGCATTCCTCAAGGGCCGGACTGCTGCCACTTTTACAGGCTTGACTCAAACGACTACTCTGCCTCGTCAACATGCAGTCACGCTCTACAGAGCTCTGCTAACAAGCTAACGTTGGAGCCTGAAGTAGCAGGACAGCGACTGAGGACTGGAGTTTGAGACTGAAGGATCTGGAACAGACCTGGGAGGCTGGAAGAGCTGGAGCCGGACTTGATGGAAGAAGAAGAGAGGGAAGACCAATCGTAGGCGGCCTCTGTCCTCCTCATGGCCTCCTGGAAGTTGATGTACAGCTGCTTCCCGTACTGACAAACACACACACACACACACACACACACACACAGGCAAACACACACGCATACAGCTTAGAGCCGCCCCACTCTCCTGTCCAATGCTGCTTTCAGTTCACTGAGGCTTGTGGATGTTTCTTCTGCAGAGACTTATTAAGCTTTTCAGCCCTGCTGAGATGTGGACTTTGACTAGGCTGTTGGAGCTGCTTGATTCTTTTTGTTTTCAGCCATTACAGAATTGAATGGATGTGAAAGCAGGAAGTGGAAAGGTCTGACCAAGTGAACTGGGCCCAGTAAAACCAGTCGCCTCATATAATTTAGCTATAAGGTCAACTTATTGCTAGGTAACAGGTGGATGGCTTCCCAGTCTGTAAGCTAGCTTAGAGACGCAGCATATAGATGTTACATCTGTAATCCAATCAGTACCTTTGCAATGCGAATACTGTTGATCCATTGTTGGAGAGTTCTGATGTCATCACAGCACAGGTACTTTATATACTGAGACTTCTTCTGGATCTGGGGGTGCTAAACACACACACACACACACACACACACATAAAATTTCAAATGTCCGTCTGTGTGTAATTAAATGTGGTTCATTTAGTGATAAAGTTCCTAATATGAATTTAAGTAATAATACAATTCATTGAACAGGTCTGTATGGAGTGTAAAGACAGTTTCTGACCAGTAGGTGGCAGGTGTAGACCATGACTTGAACATTTTACCTTCAGCACCATGCAGAAGTCAGTAGGAGCCTTGTACTTGCTCTTGTAGTCATGACCCAGGTAAACATTGACGTGATCCAGCTGGAGGAAACACACCAGGTCCCTGGACGTCTGGAAACAGGCCAAACAGAGAGCTTCAGCTTTACCACACACACAGAGGGTCCCTCCACCCAGCCTCCGTCCGTCACACACCTTGGCCTTGCCCTTTGGGACGTAGTAGATCCCAGATGCTCTGAGCAGAAAGTAACGTTTCTTCCATGACTTTTTGCCGTCCTCTTTCAGCCACAGCACTCCCTCCATCTCAGGGACAGACACCGAACTGCCTCCGAAGCACTCCTGGGAAGCAAATCGAAGCTTTTCCTGTCAGTTCTCCTGTTTCTGCCTAAAGATTTTCAAGTGGGAAAACATGGGAGTGTATCCAAAGAAGGCCGAACTAACCCACCTCTAGCAGAGCTTCTTTGTTCCTCTCTGCCATCTCGCACGTCTCCTTCCGCCCCAGTAAGTAGTTCTGCAGCAGACGGGAAGCATGTGAGAAAAGAGGAGCAGGTCCCCAGGTGCGGGCAGATGTGTGTGTTCTGTTTACCTGTGGGTTTTTGAACAGGGCGTACTTCTCGATGCGCTCGGTGAACATGAGGCGGTTCTGGCTGTCTCTGGTCCAGTTCAGCAGGTTCTCCACCAGGTTCTCGTGGTCCTCGAAGATCCGTTCTGCAGACAGGGAGACGTGCATCAAGACGTGAAAATCAGAAGAAAAAAAAGATTATTACGACATTAGCATCAAACACACACGCAATATGGCTAGTTGGTGTTTAGATTTTGCTAATAATGTCTTCCAATAACGTAATTACCTAGTCATATTTTCAAAATTCCCTGGGAAGAGATGCAACCATAAATTTCCTGGTTCATCTTTCTTGACCTTCACACACGTTTATGGAGGGAACTAACAGCAAACTGAAACTACGAAACAGGATCAAATAAGAGCTTCATGTCAGCTTTGTTCAACAGGAACAAAGTATGCATCTTGCTCTGTGTTGACCTGAATCACTCACAGCACCAATGCTAACCTAGCTAGCCACAGTTTTTTTTTTTTTTAGACAGCACATCGCTAACGAGTCAAAACAGGCCAAAGCCATGAAGTCTACAGCAGCAGACATGTGACCCCAGTTCAAAACGCCTTTAAAGAGGCAACAATCCCTCATCAGCCTTATAAAAGGAGGTAACGGCTTCATGGCTTCACCGAAGCTCCTGCTGCCGACTGAACTAATGATGCTAATGCTAATCCACGACCTGAATCCATTAGTCAGCAAAGGTTTGCTTACTTATTCTCACACAGATGGTTCTTATTTGTTCAGGGTCGCATCCTGTTACTTCATTCACAGCAGAATAAGGTAAAAATAAAATAAAAAGAAACATTTTTCTTTCCTCTTTTTGAGAAATGCACCAAACTGGAACTACGTAGGCTGCTAGGACAAAGTAACACTTGATAGTGTTTCATTCTAAAGTGTTAATTTAGGAACAAAGTGTTTGAAAGGCGACAATGTTGAAAAGAAATAACTTCTGTAAAATAATCATATTTTTTGTGAGTCCCACATCCAACACGTCATGATTTGAGTCAGGTTTTAGGCCCAAAACAATCCAAAAAAGAGGTTTTAAATATGCATTTCATGACAACATATGAGGATTTTAGAACCAACACTTATTTATGATGTAGACCAAAAACAAATCAACGAGAGCCAGAATCAATAAGGACCAAGGCTGGCCAGACAGAGCCATGAATCTGACGGGAGACAAAATGAGAAGCATGAAACGGTGCTGGTTGTTTTACCACTAAGCCTGTCCAGGTTCTGGTTGTTTTGCTCCAGACAAGAACTGAACAAAAACAAGGACATTTCACACTGACCACAAGTCACTTTGTATCCACCTGGGGAATGTTTCAAACCAAACAGAGGACTTAAAGTCATGTTCTACAGTGCACTAATAATCTGCCAAAAGAAAAGACTCCAAAAAATAATATCTGACATCAGAACGACACATTACTGAGCTTAATGGCTGGATCACATTAACACTACAACAGGGGAACAACCATAAGCTAATGGGAATCGAGCACAATACAAAGTCTGAAAATACAGTACACAATTAAACATATTATAATGGTAATTGTAATTATGAGATTTTATCTCCATAATTCATGAAAATTCCATAGGAAACGACTGACAGTGATTTGCAGATACGAAATGGATGTAATGGAATTATATTGGACAAAACAAATTGGAAAGGAGGAATGTGACCTGGAGCTACATGAAGCATATCTGCCGATTTTACTGCTTTATATCCTCAGCTTTGTCTGGCTTTGCAAAGACAGCACTGAAACTTAAAATATATAATTTAATGTTGACATGCACGGTTAAAAAGAAGAGAACCGCTACTCTTATTTCCTGCAGGGGAAAAAAAAAAAAAGTACAGCTCAAAGGTCCTGATCTAACAGGAAACCAGTTTAATGCCAGGCGTCCAAAAGCCGCCAACTCCAGGTCCAACTGATTCCCTTCACTACTACTTACCACAATTTAATAAGATGAACTACTGTGCCTTCATTCTGTGTACACAAAAGCTTTTGATAACAAATGTTTGAGACAATACTATAAAGTTGATGGCACTGCAGTATCCAAGTTTTCGTCTGTAGCAGCTGGATCAAACTCATCTGTGTGAACATTCAGTCACTGATCAGGTGACTGTGTCTGTGTGGAGGTGTGCACTCACCCATCTGCAGCTCTGTGATGGTTTCCACCAGGGACCAGTCTGGACTGTAACCACAGTGAGATTTATCCAGCAGACTGTCCAGAACCTGAAGAACAGGAGACACAGTCAGGTACTGACCCGAGGACTGACCTCAAAACTACTCCGGCTTCAGATTAGGCTTGGGACTGGCATTAATAAAGACACCATATGTCTATGAGAAAATAAAAAATATATATATAAAATACAAAAAAAAGAAAAATAAATAGCCCCATCAGTAGACCTGGGATTAAAATATTTAAGGTACTTTTTAGATAAATGAGTGTAAGACCTTTGAAGAAAAGCTTTTCATAGATGGGGATGAGGATTATGTCAATATGATGTCTTGGACAAAAAGCTCCATGTCCCCACAAAATGAAAACAGCTATTCCTGACCTCAAACTTTATAAAAACAAACAAACAAACAAAAAAAGAATCAGTGGTGGTTCTACTGGTGCAGGAGCAGAAGGTGTACCTGTCTGACCGTCTGTCTCTCGTCCACCATCATGGTCTTTGAGCTCTCGTCTGACAGATGAACACGGATGACCAGCTGTGAAGAAGAGCAGAGGAGGTCAGCCGTCATGTTCCCGCACATCGAAGGAGCAACGCGTCGCCCAATCGGCTCTCGGAGCTCTGACTGGCGTCCAAGGCTTCATATCGCAAACCAAGAAGAGGGAGCAGCTTTCAACGGGATTCCAGCAAATCTTTGCTTTACTTTGATTGTTTGAGCCGAAAATGTGACCCAGAAAAAGGAGCAAATTGAGCCGAAGGCGGTCCATTTCACCGAGCCCCGTCCTCTTATTCTGCAGCATTACCCTTTACTGAATCACATGCATGAGTGGAAGACTGCAGACTCTGCTGCAGCAAAGGGTTTCAGCAGGAATCCGACTGGAGGATGATTCAGTCAACCTCTGGTTAAGCTAACGCAGCTGAACGGAGGCAATGCTTTGATCCTGATTCCTGATTCGGAGGTTAGAGTTGATCCCAGTTGGACCACAAGTCCAGATCTGGAAAGCTCCCTGAAATGTCCAAAATTTAAAGGGTACATAGTGCCATTTTATAGCACAGTCAAACAACTATCCTGTCCTCCTGGACAGCCATGGCGTCTCTCCTGTCCTTCTTGTCCAAAACTTTGAACCTCACCATGAGTTTAATCACATGGCACCAATTCACAACATGTCATCTCCAGACTCTGGCTTAATGACAGCCTGTCTTATCGATTCTAAAACCAGCTGTGGTTTTAAAATCAAATTTAAAAAAATCACAATTATTAAAGTCTGCTGGAACCTGGAGGATCCTGGGACATCAGGGAGTTCAACATCAGCAGGGCCAAGCCAAACACTTCCTGGACACGGTCAGACGGGACTGGAAATGACTGAGCTTTTTGGCCACAGTGATAATGTTGGGACGAGACAAAGTGAGGCTTCAAACATGAGACTGGAAGTGAATCACACAGCATCCAGTGTGTATCCTGATCCAGTAGCTGAAAACACAAACATTGCATCAAATCTTGTTTTGAGTTATGAGCCTGAAGGAAACCTGGAGAAACTCACTGTCCAACATGATCACTTTCATCTCTGAGCAGAATCGATGCAACAGATGATTTATTCCCAAAACACTAACACACACACACACACACACACACACTGAGGAGCTGGAGTCCCTCTGTGTGTGTATAGTAAATCCTGGTTGTTAATCCAGTCTCTTTGGGATTTTACTTGCAGTGTTCATTATGTTGAGTGGCGTGTGTGTGTGTGTGTAGGTTGACTCCAGTTGTTATGACTGGAGCTTTTAAAAGTGCAGTAACACTAACCTGACCCAGAAACCCACTCCTCCCAACACATGTACACACCAACAGAATATAAATATACACTGTGTGTGTGTGTGTGTGTGTGTGTGTGGAGCTGACTCACCTTCTTCACCTGTGCCTCCTTGATCTTCTCCAAAGCCACCCGGATATTCTCCGCCTTTAACTTGGCAGCCTGCTCCTCCTACACACACACACACACACACACACACACACACACACATCACAGTTGAGAAAATGAAAACAAACTGCTGGAAGACCTGCTCTCCTACCTGGTTCCTCCAACAGGAGCTCATTGTAACAAAATCTCTCGTTTCTACGTCACATCAAATGAAAACCAGGTGAGGTTCGTTGATCGAGTTGCTATTTATCTTTGAGAGCCGGCTGAGTGGCGACGCTTCGTCCTGCAGGGATGTCGGCATGCGCCCAGCCTCCCCAACCCGGTAGAGGGAAATCCTGTAAAGGTTAGTCCCAGAACACGCGTGCACTGGCCAGAAAGACCCAACAGTAAGGAAGCATCCGAAACGCCTGACTACCCGTTCCTCTCCTTCTGCCCCTGTTCACAACCATCATCTTCACCGTCCTCTCCGTGTTCGCACGGGATTGAGATTGGATTAAAACGGCGGCTTCACCGCGATCCTACTGAACGAGGATTATCCGAAGTGACGGCGCGTGGACCTCAGCCGGACAGCAGCACCTCCAGAACCTGCTCTGCTCCTATGGCAACCAAACGATCTGTGATGGAAAACCGCCGGAGTTTGCCGACTCCCGTCCCGTCACATCCTCCCTGGCCAAGAGAGACGGAGGAGGAGACGGGAGGGAAGGAAGGTTGGCCGGGGTGGGAGGGAGGGGAGGGGCTGTTTATCTGGAGCTGCCGTGCCCCTTACTCTTCCTCCTCCCCTCTTCCTCCCCGTCTTCAACTCTTCCAGCTGTCCCTCTCTTTGTCTTCTTACTCTCTCTGTCCAAATCAGCTCAGAGGACAAGCATGTGGCCAGCTGCCTGATGTCACATAAAACACACACCAACACACATCCTTGTACTTCTATAAAATGTCTGGGTTATGCCTAACCATTACCAACCCTAACCTTAACCAAAACTTAACTCACATCACACCTCTAAGCCTGACCAGTAGAACTGCAAAAAAAAAGTGGGCACCAGGAAAACAAATAACGAAAGACTGTGAAACTGGTGCTTTATATGTAGCATATACAAGTACACACCTACACACACACTTAAGAGGATCCATACTGTGAACGAGCGAAAGGGCAGAATGAACTCATGATGAGAAAGATGAGATTATCGGCCAATCTCCTTATCAACGAGAACACACACACACATTAATACTTTGTTTACTTCCCAACAGAAGCCCAAACTGAACAGTATGGATCCTTTTATTAATCAGGTGGCACCAGGTGCACATCAAGCTTCCATAGAAACAAAAATACTCCTACAGTCATGTTCAAAAGGAAACTGCTACTGGAGTCAGTTCTTAATTGTTTCCAATATAGAACGCATCAAAAAAAAAAAATAAAACAAACAAACAAAAAGAAAGGTTGTTAACCCAGCCATAGAAAAACTAACATTATAACTCATAACTGTTGCTCAATATTATTCCGTATCGCATGTTTTCCTAAGATCGTGCAGCTCTACGTTCAACTTCAGAGTCAACATGTTGCTGTGATGGAGAGCTGTTTGAAATAAAATTCGGTTTTGCACATCTCGGTCATTGCTCTTCTGTTTACACAGCCAGCCACGGCTTCCATCTTCTCCAGCTGCATCTCACACATTCAGCTGACCTACATTATGAAGCTAAAATTAGATTCTGTCCAATAAACATTCGGCTGCCTTTGAAGTCGGGAGGAATTTGTCCCTCTTCAGCTGCCGTAGGTTGAAACAGAGTCGGCTGATGTGAATCACTGAATGCTGCAGAAGCATAAGTAGGGCAGCAGTGTGTGTGTGTGTGTGTGAGAGAGAGGACTGTAGTTGCTGCAGAGGCAGTGTTACACTGACACAGAAAGAGTGTGTTAAACGTGGAGATACACACACACACACAGCAGCACCCAGAAGTCTCTCTAATGAGAGCGGATAATTACACCGTCAGCCTAATCACGGCTGCAGGAATTAGACTGGCCCCGAAGCTCATAATCTGCCTGCAATCTCAAGGTCCATTGCAGCCCTCCCCTCCCTTCCCCCTTCTAATCTGGCACCGTAAATTGAAACAAAATGATGGCTTTTTTTCCTCCTCTGCTTTGACTCATGACGATGACATAAACTGCTCTCAGCTTGTGATGCAGAGGAGTCAGAATTGCTGGAAGCAGGAAGCGAAGCGAGACGGCGATCTGCAGCTTGATCCCCAGCAGTAAAAGCTGGATTTAAAGCAAACGGACGACATCAGAGCAAAAGCATTTGTTTGGGTTTGATGAACTGGGCTAAGACTGAGTTCCAGAGCCAGCTATGGACTAGGCTCTGACAGCACAGTGCAGGTATGATTTAGTCATACAATAGGAGCAACAAGCTCTGTTGCTTAGGAACATCCTCTAAGCTACACTGCAAAAACACAAAATCTTACCAAGTATTTTTGTCTAGTTTTTGGAGCAAATATCTTAGTTCAGGTGAAACAAAGCTACTAACCTAAAAGTAACTTTTCAGAAGGTTATGGGAGCATGCATTACATCAATAATTTCTTAATATTGATGAAAAGGACTAGTTCCACTGGCAGATTATTTCACTTATAACGTGGGGAAAAATATCTTGAGATATTTGCTCCAAAAACTAGACAAAAATACTTGGTAAGATTTTGTGATCAGGCTAACTGAGGCACATTTATTTTTATCAAAAAGGAAAAACTGCCAGATGCTCTCCGCGTGTGTGTGAATCTGTATGTAATGCTTTTGGGAATCACCACCGTTTTCTCCAAAGAGGATTATCCTCACACGTTTCACACATTTCTGTGACGTCCAACCATTCTGCCTCCTCTGTTGACCATCCAATCACATCGCAAACAATTTTGATCCAATCAGAACACACCCTGCTGGCTTACTTCCATGCCGAAAGAAACCTTTGCCCCATGGCTGTTAAGAAGCCAACAGCTTCACCTTCAGAGCAGCTGAGGGATCACGGTCGCTTTTGGAGCTCCGCATGGGGATTCACTTAGATTAATCTGAACTTAATCTGGCATCACAAGTGCTCTGAATGCATTAGAAAAATTAAGGCAGAAAGTTGCTAGTTGCTGATAGGAGAGTCTGGTAACTGCCAGCAAACGGAGAACAACAACAAGCATCACAATAAGCAGCAGCTAGTCCCATTACCTCCACTGATCTGCATTATCTTCAACTTTACCTGCTAAGCTTCACTACTGCCACTGGCTCAGATCCAGGTACTGATGAGGTCACTGCAGCGTATGACCAGAGCACAGAAGCAACGATAAACCAAGTCTGAGGTCAAACATGCCATCCCTAATTACTGATGAAGTGATTAGGAACTTTGCATTGAGAGTCCATTAAAAATGCCAACTTTGCATTAAATTCATAATTTACAAAATTATGCAAAGTTGGCACTTTTAATGGACTTTTAATGCAACTTTGAGAGCAACTTTGCATTAAAAGTGTCATTATTTACCGAATGACACTTCATGACCACTGTCATAAACATTCATAAAGACTCCTTCATGTTCATGACAGATGTTCTGTCATCTTTATGACAGTGTCATGTCAGTCTTATGCACACCCCTTCAAATAAAGTGTTACCGATTTTTATCTAGGGAACATTTGCTGAGATCTGCGGAATACAGAAGCAGCTTAAATGGTAACAGGATTGCACTTATTGTCCACAAGACCTCTCAAGCAGCAAGCACACACACACATGCACCCATTATATTATAGGACTTTACACTTCATAAGATCCTAGCCTTAGCCAAAACTTATTGAACGCCATACTTCCAAACCTAAGCAGTAGAGTGGAGTAGAACCGAAGAAAGTGAGGACCAGAAAGATGATGAACACAAATAACCTTCATTTGTGGTTCTCTAGGTTCTCTATCTGTACTATATACAAGTATACACACACACACACACACACACACACACACACACACACACACACACAATACGGTGTGTGTGTAAGTCCATTCTAAGATTTAGCATTTAATCACATTATTTTGTGATAAAAAAAAATAAAAAAAAACTCCAAAAAACTATTACTTCATTTTTAGGTGTATGTATGTATGGCATTGCCTGCATAGCACAGCAGTAATATCACCAAACATAAATATAGTTTTTTTAAATGGGCATCGTCATAACGCTGTTTACCTTAAAAAGTGATATATATATATATATATATATATACACACACACACACCACTAAACTGCAAACAGTAACCGCATTTTATCAGACTTTCAAATGTACTGATATTTATCGATGTTCTTGTGGAACCATGGAGGAAAAAAAATGGCAACACCAACATTTCTGGTCATACTATCAGTTTTCGGTTTTATTTACCATCAATATAACTGAAACTCATAACAATGATGACTAAAAACTCTTATCACGATGAGAAATTTTTATGATAAATGATAAATGCACAATCCTAACTTCCATTCATTTCTGCAGCCTTGCTCAGACTCTACACACCTGAACTTAATTCACAGCTTAACCCTGAACCTGACCCTTAACCACTAACCCTTGACCCCTAATCCCTAACTCTTGACCCCCAAGCCAAAAACAACACTTCTACTTGAGGAGCAGTGGATCTCCGCAACATATAGTTTGTGTTAGGAAAATCAAATACAGGGCCACACACACAGACTTTAAGGGCTTTCAGTGTTTAAACTTACCTGCTGTTGGTTCATGTTTCAGTTTCCAACAATCATTGATACAAATTAATGACAAACCATAAGAAGTGTGATCACAAAGGGAGTGTCCATCACTGAACCCTTCTGTCTGCCTCTATTGAGCTTCATAGTTTTTTAAATTTTGAATACACTAAAAAAAAAAAGACAGTTTATTTTCAATGTCCAATATCAATAACACAAAACTTCTCCTGTTTTCGGCCAGGTAGGATTATTAAAATGATTTATATCATCTAAATACCAGAATCACTATGGAACATTTCAGAGAATGTTTTTACCACTTTCTTCAAAGTCTAAACTTTACAAACGTGAGGATCATCAGTTCGCCTCTCTACTATTTTAAAGGCCGGCTGATGATGTCACGGCTTTGTGATCTTCTGATAGGTTAATTGTCACATTCAGTCAATGTGACTGTGACTGAATTGCTGTCAGAGTTCAAGACAAAAGTGAGTTATGTGTCCCTGAGATGAATGTGTTTCCCTCAAGTCAACCCTAATCAAAAGCAAAAAAAAAAAAAAAACCTAAAAGTCCTGTACTGACATGGGCTGAAAGGCCACTCAGAGAGGAAGAAGGCATCATTTAAAATGCCACAAAAAAGAGATAATTTAGGAATGCACACAGGGAGACATGTCATGTGATCCAATGACATAATAGCCATAGTTACTTTAGGACGAAAAAGCCTGAAAACGCCGTCTCAACTGTGAAGCACGAGAGTGGCAGCATCATGTTGTGGGAGACACTGGTGGTCTTCACAAAGCAGCAGGAAAAGGCATCAGGTTTAAATACATCTGAAGCCGTTAAACAGGTGGTTGAAGTTTGGCCCACCAACTTCAAAATGAACGTTCTGGAGTGGCCATCACAAAGTCCTGATCCGAGTCCCACAGAAAAGGTGTGGTCAGAGGTGAAGAGGGCCGAGTTGGACCAGTCGGACCCGGTGCCACCCGGTTTGTCAGGAGAAGCGGGCCACGACTCGGAAAACTGTTATGAGATCCTCATGGAAGAAAACCCAGAATGGCCCACCTAAGTCATGCAGTTCAATTATAGAATGGGGGGAAAAAAAAGTCACAAGAAAATTCATTTTTATCTTTGATGTAGAACTACTTATTATACTTTAGACAAGTGATAACACAAAACTTGGCTGACACACCAAACAGTCCCATGTTAAATATGATTGATTTCTATGATTAAACTGCAGACAATAACTGCATTTAATCAGATTTTGTCATTAAACAAATAATGGAGAAAATAGTAAAAACTAACAATCCCCACAATAGTTTTTTTTTTAAATATCATTAATTTGAATTTATTGTAACACATAAATTCGAATTCTTATCATAATGAGAAACGTATTATGATAAATGCTCAGCTTTAATCGTTACAGACCTCAAACTGGAGAAGTTTGGTCAAACTTAATGTCACACAATGACAACAAAACGTTTGCTGCACAGCAGGCATCTGCTGCTAACTGTGGATAAAACCAACACGCTGATTATGATTGCTAGCTAGCCGTCGATTAATCTGTACAACTCCTGCGTGATCACACCTCTCACACACTCTGCAGCTCTGTGAGCCGTCGGAGCATTAAAACACTCTGAACATGCACGTCCCTTTTTAACTCGGGCCGACCCGCTCCCATCAAACCCTCATGCTTCATGGAGACGAGCTAAACGGCCTATTTCAATCGAAGCAATCCATCAGCACAGCACACACACACACACCCTGTGCTTAAAGGAGACCTACACACATTTGCATTATGTGGGTTTAACCAAAGTATCACACAGACACACATAATGTGGACGTCTATGACAGACGGACAGGTCCGAGCACAGACACACAGCACACTGGACCAGGCTGGGGGGCAAGAGGGGTGTTGACATGCTCTTCACGCATCATGCAGGAATCAAATAGGAGGAAAAGTTGGGAGGCTGGCATGCGAGAGGAGAGGAGCGTGGTTCAGAAGTGAATGAAGGGAGTCACCTTGGTCAGCAGGTGGGGGGGCTTTCCAGCAATGTTTCTCAGAATCAGAGAGGTTTCCCTGTCCAGATAGGAGTGCTTTAAAGAGACACAGAGAGTTCCTGTGAATGAACGGGGCCACCTGATTGGCTGGGTGAGGCGCTTTGGAGCAGAAAGCTGTGTGGTGAAGCAGAGGTCAGCGGCACCGATGGAGTGCTCAGAGAACTGAAACCAGTGAGGAAGAGAATACAGGGCTGGTTCGCCTGCAGGATGGAACAGAAACGTTAGGTCGGACAGAATCAGAGAACCCACGGGCAGAACCCGGTCGGCGTTTCACACTTCCTGTCTCTGAGGGACCCTCCTGTGGAACACGCCCCATTTATTAGTCAGGAAAATCACGAGCTAATGGGACACCAACCATCTGACAACCCTCATCGGTGAGCCTGAGGCTGTGGAGGCAGTTACCCAGGGCGGCATTAGTAAGGGAGGGCGCAAAAAAAACAAAACAAAAAAAAACGCAGATCAACATGCAACTTATCTGTCAGTTGGATCTTAAATTAGTTTCACATTGATTTAAAGCTGCAGTATGCAACTGTATTAAATATTTTTTAGCATATTTTTAAAATTATTATGCAATAATACAAGACAGGTAATCTATGAAAAAATTGAGCTCTTCTGCCTTCTCCCAGTAACACCCGCAGAAATACACCATTCAGCCAGAAACAGCCAATCAGAGCCAGGAGGAGGGGCTTAGCGCTGACAATCAGTCTCACCTTCTCCCCTTTGCCCTCTGCTACACAGCCAGTTGGCCAATGGTGATGGAGGATAAACAGTTTTCTTGTAACAGTAAGTTGTTCTCTGCCACTAACACATCAAGCAGCGTACATGAGGTGAAACAGCTGGTTAAGTTAATGTCCACTTATATAAGCTGACTACATTTGTCTTTTAACCATCTGAGATTTATGTTTAGTTTTCAGACACTCGCTCTTATCTTTTTTTTTTTAAGCTTCTGCTTTGGCTTAAATCACTAGAAACCATTTAACAGAAGGCATGAGATTTCTTTTGATGCACACAGATTAAAAATCATATTCAGGTCAAACACAGATCCTCACACTGATGTCACAGTCAGATTTTCCCTCCAGGAAAAATGTGACTGCCCCAATTTACTGAACTCTAAACTGTAAGCTATTTTTTTAGGAAAAAAACAAAACAAAACACCCTTTTATTAAGTATTACATAATTTTTTTCTAAAAATTTATAAAATGGGATGTTCATGCTTGTTCTATGTCCTATCAGAGGAAAGGGGCCTGAATGCAAACATATACTACAGTTCTCAGATATTCCTTGCAAAAAAAATAAATAAATAAAATTGAATCTTTCACTCTGGACTTGTGCAATGTTTTGTCTGGTGTATCATATAGAATCCCAATAAAATAGTGAAAGCTTTTCGCTTTATTTGTCGCTGAGAAGCAGGAAGTGACGGCAGGGAGCATCGCCCTGATTAGAGGCCTCATCTCCTGACTGGAGACGGATTTCTCCGGGGATATTCCCAGAAGCCTCTCTGGGATCCAGCGCGTCCCAAACTCCGGTTATTTTCTGCTGGCCTTAATAGGAAATCAGAGCGAGAGCGCCGAGGACGGAGCAGTTCCTAATGAGATGGGAACGTCGCTCCGGCAGGACAACATTCCTGTTCATGATCCTCTTTCTTTGCTTCGTCCACATCCCCTTCTCTCCCTCTATTTTTTCCCGTGTTTCCTTCCTGTGTTCATTTTCCCCATCTCTTGGACTCACTGTCCCAGCTGAGTCGTCTGCCCCGCCCACCATGTTCTCCCGCTCCGGTTGTGCAGCTGAAGCCGCGGTCCGGCTGAACTCCATGACCGGAGGCTCTAAGCTGCTTTCCGTCTCACTGAACCCAGATGATGCTCAGCAGCAGACAGCCTCCTCAACCAAACAGCAACTGAATGTTTCCCTTTGAATTAATGAAGACTGCTTAGTGAATTTAGAAAAAAAACTGCTCATCTAAGCTGGTTTTAGCTTTGTGTTGACTAAATATCTCCTTTTAAGCTGGTTAGAATTAGACCGACTTTCTTTTTCATGTAAGGAAATGTTTCATTTTCTGTTGAATGTAAAGACGTTTTCCAGCCTCACATGCAACAGGGAAACCAAAAGCTAAGAAGATAAAGAAAAAAAACTTTATTTTGTTCCAGTTATTCCAGCGGACTAGTCAACCATTTCCTCCTTCCAGCTGACTGGATCACTTCAGTTCAGAACGTTTTACTTAGATTTGCTGCTAGTGAGAATTTGTCACAATTCCAACATTTTTCCACAAACAAAAAAACCTGAAAGGTGCAGATTTGACTGAAAGAAGAAAAACTGAATGTCAATTATCAAGTCTTGACACTGAATCTTCATTAAATTTAGGCTGTGACTTTGACTAGGCCATTGTAGCACATGTACATGGTTGGATTAGAAGCAGATTATGATCTCACACCTCTGGCCTTTTATGTTGAACTATGTTACCGGTTTACCTGCTGCTGCTGTTTGCTTTTAATCTAGTTTCACTTTTGCAGCTCTTCTTCTACTAAAGCTCTGATGACTGAGTGGATTCCCAACAGCACAGAGCTGAGAGAAAATTAAGAGCAAATATTAAACTAAACAGTAACACTGCATTTGAATGGGTGCACATAAGACTGAGCTGACACTGTCATAAACATGACATAACAATTGTTATGAACATGAAGGAGATTTCATGAATGTTTATGACTGATGTCATGAAGTGTCATTTGGTAAATAATGACACTTTTAATACAAAGTTGCATTAAAAGTCAATCAATAGTGTCACTTCAAATAAAGTGTTACCAACTAGATAAATCTAGCATAAAGTGTCGTCCTTCAGGTGTGTGTGTGTGTCTGTGTGTGTGTGTGTGTGTGTGTGTGTGGCAGAGCGCTCCAGCTGTTCACAGCTGTGTAATCCTTCCACTGTGGCGCTGCCAGCTCCTCATGGGAATCAGGAAAATGAACTCAGACCTTTAGGACCAAATGCATCCTTCATCTTTTATTTTTATTTTCGCATTCGACGTTTTAATCTTTTAATCAGTATGACCCAGAATCAGAAATGTAAAGCTTTTTTTTTTTTTTTGCCATTTATGAAACAATAAATATTTTCATTTTCATATTGATTTTTGTTCATAACGCCCCTCCCACCCGCCTCGATGAGCTCGACTTATCATCAGAGACCAGGTTTAGTGAATGTGACAGCGATGCCGTCATTGTTTGGGCAGCAGGTGTCCGTGCCTCCATCCTGTGAGTCATCCAGGCTAATGTGGCGAGCCAATCATTTTTATGAACGCTATTATTGAACCTAATCTGCTCCTAATCAGCTTGAAGTAATCCCAGTTTGCAGACAGGTGTCACAGCGAGTCCAGCTAGGTAAAGCGAGTGACGATGTGTGGTAGGAATCCGGACTGAAACGGAGCTGTCACTGCCTCTGGTCGGCTGCAGCTACATCGGGACCAGGAGATCTCAGGCCCAGATTTGGACCAAACAGCAGGAGCTCCTGCAGTTTGTGTCGGTCCGTACCTCTGTGTTGGGATGCGCCTGACCCGATCCCTCTGAGGGCTGCGGGCCGTCGGACTCGGAGCGGAGGACGCTGTCCAGCGAATCCATGGAGGACGCAGAGTTGACAGAGATGCCGGACGCCGAGGTGACGGAGGAGCGGGAGGAGTGGACGAACGACCGCACCTGAGGAGGACGAAACCAGGGAGGGGAGGAGGAGCAGCATTGCTGTTAGATCTGCTGCTGGTTTTCCATGAGACTGACTTCCTGCTATTGATCAGCTGATTGACCCACAGCTGAGCCGGCCGGAGGGGTTACGTACCTCGTGCTCGCTGACCGTTCCCACTGACCCGGTGCGTCGGTGCTGGCGCTGAGAAGACCCTGGCCGTCGCACCGAGGCTGACGTGTAGGAGGAGGCGGAGCTAAGAGAGTGGGAGGAGGTCTGCCGTGCAGCTTCATCCATGCTGAGAGACGCCTGACGGAGAGACAGAGAGGAAAATACGATGTCTGGACAAACATGAAACAAGATTCAGTTTATAATAAATATAAAACAGATTTATGTTTTATGGACATCGTGAGTGACAGCTGGCAGCTTTTGGGGATCATTCATAACAAACGTGCTTCAGTGTGGAACAGAAACGCTGTCAGGTCAGAGTTACTATGGCGACGGGTCCGAACCTTCTCTAGCTGAGCCGTGATGTCGTCCAGACTGAAGTTGGAGGCCAGCGGCGGCCGGCCCTGCTGCCCGCTCGGTGATCTGATGGTGCCGGCTGGAGACGCCCTGGTGCTGCTGCTGCTGCTGCTCGCCCCGCTGCTGCCGCCCCCACCCGACACGCTGTTCCCAACGCCGCCGCTGCCCCCTGCTGACTGCTGTCTGCTGCTGCGCCCAGCAGGAGGCTTCTGCCGCACCTGCACGCAACACCAGAGCACACAGTAGACGCAAGCTAGCGGAATGCTCGATGGATCAATGAGTCTATAAATCTATAAATCAATGCGATGGCCACCTTGGTGTCTGTGAGTCCCAGCCGGGCCATGCTGCTGCTGCTGCTGCTGGACTTGGTGTTGATGGTGCTGAGCTCTTGCTCAATGGAGGACAGGTCGGCCATGAGGGCATTCAGGTCAACGTTCTCCCCCTGATTCAGGGCCTCTGCACACAAACACCATGATGTGGACGGGAGGTTGCAGGGGGAGTGAGGCAGCATTGGTCAAGGGCGTAGATTGCAGAGGTCAGGGGGAACTAGGGAGGAATGGAGCACCAACTCACCGTTGATGTTGTAGATGGAGAATCTGTAGGAGAAGTTTGCCATGTTGGTCTCCTGCCTGAGGGGGGCTTTCTGCTGGGGGGGGCATTCTGGACGGCCATCATCCAAGCTCTGAACACACACACACACACACACACGCACAGAGGAGTGTATGTCTACATGCCATATACATGTAGACATACACCATCACCGTAGCGATCCAGCTCCGTACTTGTGTGAGCTTGTCCAGCTCTCCCAGCCAGGCTCCAAACATTTTATCCAGGTCCTGGTCCTCCTTATCGCTGTCCTCCTCTTCCTCATCCTCCTCCCCCCTCACCTCCACCTCCTCGTCTGATAGCTGATCCATCTGAGGAAGAGGAGAAGAGTAAACGAAGGCTATATTAGAGACCATGTTTCATCTCCATCTAGTGGTCAGTAACAGGTACTGCAAATAAGTTAAACGGGGACTTTGAACTTTGGGGAAGAAGAGGTTTTGTTACTGAGGCGTAACTGAAGCAGCGTTTATATTTGACTTAGAAATCCCAGCTGGATCCAATGTTTCATTTTTCCTTTGGAGAAACTTCCAGTTGGGCACAGCAGGTAACTTTACATGCAGTAAACTCTTGACAAAATCAGAAAGCGCTGATCAAACTGGTGGCAAAACACTATTCTGAGAAATATCCGTCTCTGAGGCTGGCAATATCAACCAAAATTTAACCACCAATGTTATGTTACAGGCAAGAAGACATTTCTGATGACAAGGAACACTGTCATCAGAAATGCATTATAAAAAGACAATCAAAAATGTAATAACTGCTAAAGTTTTGAATCATTAAATTCCTTTGATTTGGACTTTGAAAAGACAAAAAAAATCTGCCTCTCTAATTCCAACTCAACTTTAAATGCAATACCACGGCTTCATACGAATGATTAGGATTTGGGTGAGTGAAACAATGTGAAATGGTTTGAAGGTTATTGTAAAACTATAATCTCATGCGATGGAAGCCTACTCTTCTTGATTACAGACGCAATTTACAAGGTCGCCGATCAGGAATGAATAACCAGCAGGCCATCTGTTGTCCCATCAACTGAAAACACAACCTGTTACAGGTGGCTGCTTCAGTCCTTGGTGTGAGTCGACAGAGTCACTGTACATCTGCAGTTTCTTCATCTGGTGTTGAAGGAAGTTGAAATCAGTCCAGTTTTATCCCACTAAAGCATAACAAAGTTGATCAGTGAAACTACATCATCAGTACCGGTTCTGTATAGGTGGTGAGCTGTGAAGACTTCGGACTGAAGTTAAACTGCTGCCATAGTTCTTTATTTTGTCGACTCCCCGACTTTATCTCACAATGTGAACAGGAGTCAGATCTTTGAAACTTCTCAACCACTTGGACCAGGCGGAGTTCCTGAGTCTAAAAATAGTCTTCAAAACATGATTCATAACAAAGAGTCATAAAAGCCAGAACAGATTTAAAGGAACAGTTCAGATTAATGCGTTTATGTATCCACCCTGTGAAAAACTCAACACACACCCAGGGGGGAGAGACACTGTTCCTTTGACTGATGATAGCAATAACCATCTTCTTCCTTCCTTCCTTCAACACACACACACACACACACAGACACACACACACACAAATATAAACAGAGTCCCACTTCAATTTTCATGTAAAAATTTCATACTTCTCTAAACTCAACTTTCCAAATTTCTTAATCCTCTAGCTTAATTTGAAAATATACTAACATATCCTATGAATGAAGAAGGAGGGAATAAAGGAGAGAAGGAAGGAAACAAAATGAAGGAAGGATGCATGTAAAAATGTACGGAAAGAAACAAGGGACACAAGCAACTAAAGACAGAAATAAGAAAGCAAAGAAAGAAGGAAGGAATAAAGGATAACTTTTAGTTGATGCCCATTTTTCCTATTTTCCCCAAGCTTATCCAGAGCTGGAAAAACTGAAATCACATCCCAGACTGAATAAGAAGCCTCTTCAGATCAGAGGCAAAGACACATGGCACATGTTAAATTCTTCACAACTCACAGCAGATCAGTTCAATCTATAAAAAATAAAAGCTGTAAAGTAATGTAACGAGACAAAAAGCTGCCTCGACATGCGTCAGTGTTAAAAAGATTTTATCTTGTAAAAGAGATAAAAGACTTCCTTGGGAAAAATGAAAAGCGTTTTTGAGTCATACCCTCAACTACAAAACAATTTAAACCAGGCTGTAAGGAAAGGCCCACGTTACTGTTGAAAACAGTTCCCATTGGTTCCAGCAGAGGGCACTCTAATTTGACATTGAATAGAAACTAGTGTGTCTTTTGCTAGCATAAAAAGCTATTTGTGCTATGCTGGTTACAAGCATGGAAAACCATGATTATGAACATCCAGAGGAGACAAATCCACAGTGTTACTGTATTAAAACAGAACAAACTAATGTACAACAATCTAACTGCTTTTATTTAAGCAGAAAAACAAGTGCTGCCCAAAACATCTCATATTGATGCATTACCTAGAATTAAAGAAAATTTGAAAAAATAAAAATAAAAAAAAACACTAATTGATACAGCTAAACATTGTTGCCACAGTTTAGAAGCTGATTCAGGTACTTCCTGGACTCCAGACATTGTTAACTTTAAGCTGGTTTCTGTTAGAGACAATGTATTCTAAAAAAAAAAAGTTTTTTTTGATGCACAAAAGAATAAAAGAGTGACAAATTATATTAACCAGCAGATAAATATGAATAAAAAAAATATATATTTGAGCCTGCTCAATGTTAGATTAGTTAACTGGGTCAGCTGTCCATTACTAGCCAGCAGGACTCTGACAGAGTTGTCACAAGATCATAACAATATGAAAGAAGGTAAAAGCGCATGTACACAATGAGGCGGGTTGAGCGGGGATCGAACCAGCGAACTGCCGAACTCCGACCGCCGTCTCCACCATCACCTCTGCTCTTCTGTAGAGAAGAGCGTTTGGATGGAGTCGGAGCTAAGAGTGGTGGGATCGGGATGTGGGGCGCTTCACTGACACAGACCTCTTTCCTACATTTATAATTGGGATTTTCAGCCATTGTTTACGTCCTGATTTACTGCGTCTGGCTTCCTCCGGTGCAGTAATGATGCAAGTCCCACATCAATGATGTAAAAGTCAGACGAAATTCAACATGACGGTTCAGACCGCAGACACTTTGAAAACAATCGGATAGGTATCCGATTCAGTGAAATATACGAAAGTGGCACAAATCACTTTTTTTTTTTTGGGGTGTGAAAAAAATCTTCACTGATAAGCTAACATAGCTCATCAGCTCTATTGGCCTTTTCTGCCTCCTTCCTGCAGGCGACCCCTGATGACAAAGTGTGCTGTTCCTGGGTAGCTGCTCAGCCGTACCCACCTGTAGCCCCCCTGAGGATTTACAGCCAGCATACACACACACACACACAAACAAGATTAGAGAGCAGAATGGAACACACCCTTATGCAAACATACGGGAAAAACACAACATACACACAAACGGTTAGGAGCAGCGCTAGAATTAGATCCCTGTGGTTCGCGAGGTCTGTTTTTATGCTGGAGGACAGGCTCACTGTGTGTGTGTGTGTGCATGTGCGAGTGGTTTGGGGATGGCTGAGAGAGAGTGCAGGAGCTTTGCAACATTCGGCAGCTTCCAGCTGCTGCAGTTTGGACGCAGACCAACTAATGAAGTTTTTCTTTCCAAGCCCAGCACGGCAGAGCGTTCCAGCGTTCCAAACGTCAACCTCGGAAGCCATTTCTTGTGCAACACTTTGAAAATGTCCCTCGCATTAAGTCGGGACTCAACAACAACATGAAGATTCTTTGAAGATTTGGTAACTTTTGGAAACAATGTTTTCAGAAGACAGAACAAGTCATCTTCTGAAGTCTGGTTTCTAAATGTTGAGTCCGTTTCCCTGCTTCAGAACTTTTCATCCAGCGATTGTTCGGCCCGATGTCGGTGGATCCGTGATCTCTTTTCAACGTGATGGAAACAGAGCAGCTCCCCCGTCTGCAGCTTCTCCCCAGCATCAGCCTGTCAGACGCTGCTCTCAACGCAGCAGAGCTGAGACAGCAGGTCAGAGTGATGGACTCTAAGTGCTGTGTGTGTGTGTGTGTGTGTGTGTGTCCAAAGTAAACAGTAATTACTTTGCTCCTGCAGCCACACTCCTTGTGTCTGTCAGACTGAAACCGTGCAATCATCCTCCTCTCCTGCATTCCTCCTCCCACCTCTGCATCGTTTCTCTAACATAATTACCCTTCTTCACTGTTTTCTCTTCCTCCTTTCCGTATTTCCCGCCCCTCATCAGTTCCTTCGTCTCTCCAGCATTTTAATCCATGGGAGCGACGATGAATCACAGTTTCGTCACAGCAGAAGTTTGATTTCCTGCAGCCGTAACACAAACACCTTCAGAGTCACTAGGGCTGCACCGACTGCAGTTTTCTGGCCGACAATTGATCTTTAGAAAGGCTGACCTGCCGACTCCGATTTAGGCCAGCACTGATTATTTTTTTTTATTAAATGTTGCAAAATATAGCTGAGTTGGCAACAGCGAGGTGCAGACATGTAGACATGACCTGGTGGGGTCGGTCAGTAGAACCTCTCCCCAGCAGGAGGACAGTGGCTGATTATTAGCACCCCTCATCGACTGACTGTGTTCATGCATACCCATTTCAGCATTATACCATATTATAAACACAGCCTTCTGTAGATTTTACTTGTTTTTTTAATAGACCAAAACTAAGTAGAGCTTAATTGTGAAGTGGAATTAAAACCCAGGTGTGTCTCAAATCAGTCCTAGAGGCCCAGTGCCCTGCATGTTTTGGTTCTGCTCCTGGTTCAACACACCTGAATCAAATGATGAAGGTTAGAGAAGGCCTCTGCAGATGAAAAGAACTGAAACATGCAGGATGCCGACCCTGGTGGACCAACTCTGGACGCCCCTGGCTGAACCCTGTCTGCACAGTGAGAGTCCAACTGGAGACGGAGCCCTTCTCCTGATTACACCAGACCGTAAAACAGCGTTCTGACCCACAGAGACCCGCTCAGTGGAAACGAGGCATCAGTCGATGAGCAGGAGATCTGATCGCATAGACAGCAGAAACCGTGACGCGACACGTCCTCCACAATCACACATTTCCAGAAACATGGAAGTGTAGTGAAGCCACATTCTGCCGAGTCCAAAAGCACAACAAACGAAGGCGAGGGACCGGAATCCACCTGCACACGCTCATCCTGTCCCTAATGCCAGCTCGTCTAATGAATGTTATTCTGTCTCAGCTTTTTCACATCCACACGGTGGAAGTGTCTCTAATTTCCTGCTGAGTTGTGGATCTGTTTGCTCCTCTTCA